CCTTGCGCAATGCACATGATTTGCTACTTTTCCATCAAATCCATGTTGATTGTGAATCGTATATGTGTATGTATGGTAATTCGTGTGCATGACGTTAAATCAATGTATCCACATTATATTTTTTATAATATTGTAGAGTTAGAGTAATGGTTAAAAAAGATGCTGCTATTCCAGAATCGCTGGGATCTGTACGCGAACGAATCGCTCGTTTCGAATCGTTGCAAGATGAAAAACCCACAAAGTCGTCTCCAGACAAAGGTTCCGTGGATATCGTTGTCACACCCGTCAGCCCAATGCCAGCGATGAAAATTGAAACTGAGGACATAGCGCAAGAGCCACTCAGTCCTTCTATCGAGTCGGAAGTTTCACAGGCTGAAGTCAAGAGTTCATCATCCTATAGTGGAGATGAGCACAGCCCTAGAGGATTTGAAAGACCCGACAGCAGAGAAAAGAGAGCATTCGTAGAGGAGCCAAGAACGAAAGTGCCATCGCCACCTGTAGAAGAAGTCAAGGAACAGGAGAGCGAAAAAGTTGACGAGTATCTTACCTATCCTAAAACTGTCATAGAAATGACTAGGGAAGAGATGCTTGAGCTGGAAGAGCGATCTGAGTCACCACAGCTGGCGGGAGTTCCCAAAAAACAAAAGGATGACGATCAGTACGAAGTAATTTCGCCGATACCGATCCAAGATGAACCACCTGAAGAACATCCAAAATTGGCGGAGACTAGGACTACGCCCATATCTAGCTTTCATGAGGTTCAGGAGCAACAGGCTATGCAAACAGAGGGAGTAGTACCTCCTAGTGAGCAGGCAGAAGCACCTCCAAAATACGAGGACGTCGTGGAAGAGCTGGCGTATCCAAAAGAAGAGCATGAATATCGAACAGTGAAGAAAACTGTGACTACAGTAACAACCACTCGTTATATGGAGATGCCGGAATCTGCAGAAGGGATTGTAGAACAGGCAGAGGAACCATCTCCCTACCCAACACCACGCGAGCCATTAGAAGAAGTTGAATATCCCACAATGACAAAAACCGTCACTACTGTTACAACAACTATTGAGGTACCTGAAACACCCGAGAGTGAAAAGCAAGAACATGAAGTACCTGAGAAAAACTTGGAATACGGAGATGAAAGGCGATATGATGAAATAGGAACTGTGGAAACTGAACCGTATTCCGCTTTACTGACTGGACAAGAGCCAACAGACCTTGCCCACGACGAGAGGATCCATTTGGATACTGCACCAGAAATAACGGAAATAGAATATAGTTTACCCACAACGGACAGTGACTTTTCTACGGCACCAAAGACCGTTACGACAACGATGAGAACACCTTACGAAATGGTTGCTGACCCTACACGACCTGACGACAAAGACAGTACGGCTGTCAGAAAGACTGTCACTACTGTCACGACCACTTTTCCAACGGAAGGTATTACCAGTGCAGCTATGCGTGACCAGGAAGAGTTCCAAAATGCGCCTGAATCACCAGATAAGCCGGTTTCTCAAGAAAAATATCCATATGTGAGTGAAGCCACTTTGAATGTCATGTCCGCAAGTGAAGAGTATGAGACAACCCCGGCAATTCGGGAACAACCAGATGAGGAGACGAAAGGTTATTCAGTAGAGACTGGTGATGAATTCGCTCCTGCGACTGAAAGATTCACTACTGTCATAACCAAGCGTATTGGAGAAGAGCCTGCCACAAAACCTGACTTCGAAAATTATTCACCCCTGAAAAGAACTGTGATAAGCACGCGTATTGGAGAGCCAGAAATCGAAGAGTCCAGAAGCTATGAACGAGAATCACCGAAATTGGTGGAAACACCTGTGCATGCTGCTCAAGAGTTACCCACAAGTGATGTTTCAACTACTGCTACAAGCACGCATTTTGGTGAGCACGAAATGGACATCGAAGGATTTGGGAGAGAACCGAGATCGTTCTATGAAGTCACAACCCCGGTAGCGCGAGAAGATTATTCGCATGGTGGAGTTATCACAACTGTAACTACTACGCTTCATGAGGAGCCCGAAAGTCAAGACATTCAAGGTCCATTGAAAGACTCATACTTTGAGGACGCTCCACGAAGCCCCACTGAACCGTATCAGCCTATGGGAAAAGTAATCACCACCGTGGCGACAACTCTACACAAAGAGGAACCGGAACAGACACCCGCAGGAAAAGAATCACCTGAATCTCCCATAAGTTCCAAGTCCGGAATAAAGCATTCACCTATCAAGGAAACTGTTACGATAACAATGACGCGCTATGAGGATGAAGGCGGAACACCAGAGCATTACGAGAAGCAAGAATATGTTAAAACATCGGATCTACCTGAAGATCGTACTTCACGAGGAGATTACCAACCCTATGAAGAAACTACTACCATCACTACAACAACATACGAAGAAGGTGAAGTTCCAGAGAGTCTGGGGACTGTTGAGGACGCTGGAAAACAGGCAGATATATTAACAAGTACAGTTTATCAGCAGCCATCTGAAATCACCGCAACCACAATCAGAATGACGAGCCACGAAGAAGGCGAACCAGAACACGAAAAGTATGCAAGAGAATTTAAAGCTAGTAGAAGAGTCGAACCCGAGTACTCCGGTGAATACGATATGCATTTAGATAGCACAAAGGAAAGAGTCCCAGGCACTATGATTACTAGAGAGGAGCTTTCTTTCCAGAAAACATTCAAGGGTGACGCCCCCGACAGGGATCATGCACCTAAGTCGGAATTGATTTCCGACGAAGGTCAAACAGGCCCACCGTTTGATGACACTCCTGGTCTTGCTACCAAAGCCTCAAAAATTGCAGCAGGTGCTCTTATAGCTCCAGTAGCTTTGGCAGCAATGGGCGCTTCTGCAGCATATGAAGCTTTGGCAAAAGATGATGAAGAAAAGCGTAAAGGTCTGTACAAGGAACATGAGCAACAAGCAGAAAGAGAGTCG